GGGCTGTTACACAGAGAGCTCCACACTTTACACACACTGTGCAGTGCTGACACAGGGCTGTTACACAGAGAGCTCCACACTTTACACACACTGTGTAGTGCTGACACAGGGCTGTTACAAAGTGAGAGCTCCACACTGTACACACACTCTGCTGACACAGGGCTGTTACAGACAGTCTGATGTGCTGTGGCATCAAATAGAACAACGTTTTGTATTTTTTTAACACACTTAAAACTGATCTGATAAATATTTTGTTGTAAGTTAATAATATTTGGTTATGTTTGTGTTCTATCTGTTATGTTTGAAAATTACAAAATAAAATGTTCATAAAAAATATATTACTGTTTTAAAGAAAGAATTACATTTTCAGTTATTTTCAGTTATTTTGTTAATCATTAATTGATTAATTAACTGGCAAGTGGCTCTTGCTAAAGGATTAAAAAGAAAAGGAGTAAGAAACACAGCTACCTGATCCAGTTCGTCCCACAATCCCAACAGTCTCTTCAGGCTGGATGCAGAAGGACAGCTTCTTGAGTACCAGGGGTAGGTTGTCACGGTAACGCATTTCCACATCTTCAAACTGGATGTGACCTTCCTGTGGCCAGCAGGGGGAGGCAGGGGAGGATGCAGGGCTGTTTCTTGGTGCCTCCACCTCCAGGTTCTGAGCAAGATGTGAAGGGGGTTGAAGTCCAAATATCAATGATATTGGAATGAAATATAATTATGTAATTATTGTCAAGAATAGCTGATCCCATGCTATGCTGAGTGTCTTCCACATCTTACTGTTTATGTGCTGTAGGGGGCGTAATGTTTTCATATTACTCTGATGTTGCACACTTCACTGTCACTGCGTCACACACCATGTGCTGGCTTGTCTTGTTCTGTGATGTCTGGAGTGGGCTGCCCCACACTGTGTGTGCTAATTAGCTTGCTGTGCCGTGGAATGGTGTTGCTGCTCTGTGAGCCCCAGTGCTGTCCCTCCCCCAGCTGGCTCCTCTCCCAGCTATTCCCAGCAGCCCACAGTCCACGCCACCGGATCCCACCTGGATGTAATGACTGATCCGCTCCACGGACGTGAATCTGGCCTCCGTCTCGGAGAGCATGCGCACAGTGAACTGGAACAAGCCACTGAGCTAAGAGACAAGCACACGGCAGACAGGCTTTTATTAATCCACACAGCAGCAGGCCTTAGACTTTATATAACAAGAACACAACCTGGGGCATTCAATCAAAATCTAATCAGTTTGTGTCACAATGTTTAGTTTCCTAAATCAAACAGCAGGTAGAATGCCAGTGCATTTACAATTGAGAATGTCAAGCAACTCTGAAATTTAGATTAAGAAACACACAGTAGTTTTCCACTGTAACATGGAGGGAGCACATAAATGTCATTTATGTTGTTATGGTTTACATTGAGAAAAATTGTTTTATTTCTTATCCTTTCCTCCATTTTCAGTACACACATCCTTGTGAAAGCTTCTGTGTCAATACATACACTATTTCTTTAAGTTTCTCTCTCTTGGAATCATTTCTACCAAGCGGCAGCAGACGCTGACCGGGCTCGGGAGGGTGAAGACTGTTGTCTGTCCTGGTCCCCAGTTATCCTGGCTGTCTGAGTGCTGGTAGGGGCCTCACTGTACCTGCATGGCGTACGTGATGGCCAGCCCGGCGGATGCAGGGGGGATACTCCCATGCATCAGCACGATGAGCAGAGCGACCAGGGTGACGAGGAAGATGCTGATGAGGTCCAGGCGCACGGCCAGCCAGCGCATCGCGCAGCTGAAGAGGTAGTGAGGAGCTTGGTTAGAGTCCAGCAGCTCCTGGTACCTGACAGGCAAACAGGGCCCAAGACAAGAAGGACACAGAGAAAGGAGAATTGTTTTTTTTTTTCATTTCATTGGATTTCAGGTTTTATCCCAGCAGAGAAGACCGTAGTGCCCTGTGCCCTGATCAACATAGGGGATTAGTGTAGGCCTGTGTCCAGGGAGAAAGAGTGGGATAAAAAAAATGAAGCTAAAAACGTCCAGTGGCTTTCCTGTCACCACACTAGTGATCTGATCTTCCAGACAGCGAGCTGTGTGAGCAGACAGAGGTGCAGACATCTGCGGCCTCACCTGCACAGGAAGTCCGGGCCCCTGCCATAGGCGTGGATAGTGGACAGTCCCTGCAGGCTGCAGGTGATGTGGGAGGTGAAGGGCGATAGGCTGATGTTGTCCAGACGCTTGAGCTCACGGAGCAGGACCCTGTGGGAGAAGAGAGGGGTGAGGCAGCGTGCAGCTCGCAGGCCAGGTGTCTTTGAGTGCAAGTGTAAGACGAGACGACATGTTGGACATCTTCAGCAACAACAGCGAACCAGGTGCGCAAGAGGACAGCCTTCAATTATCCTTTCACAAAGCAGCGCTGCTTGGTTTGCTTCATGTCATCGAGTTTTTAGACTCCAGTTATTAAAGCAAGCTTTAGTATTTCTGGTGATGAATGATGTCTGACGAGGGGATGAAAACAGACCATTGTACACTGTGAGTCACAGCATGTGATTTTATAAATATGCATACTATATATCTCAAGCTGGGAAGTTTCAGAAATTAAATTAGTTACATGATTAATAAGCAACAGGCTTAATTCAAGAATATTACCAGAAACAAGCTAAACCCTTTTGTTTTACACAGAAGTTTTGCACTTCAGTAGCCAGTACCTTCAAGAGGCATGATCTCCTACTGTGTCCAACAACTACAAACAGAAGACTGACTCTTCTGCAATGTGAAGAAACTGATGAGTTTAGCTGACTGAGGGTAAGGTTTTGCTTTGTCTCACCTTGAGATGCGGTTGACCAGGAAGAGGAAGAGACCCAGGGGCAGGATAGAGAGCAGGATCCAGGGGAAGACCATGCTGACCATCACCAGGCAGAACAGCACCATGGCCAGGCTCTGCAAGAGCATCTCAGCCTGCATAGGTAGACGCACATCCACTGAGGAGACAGGAAACACTGCGCATTGAGCAAAGGCAGCACCAGTGTACATGGGTTCTAAGACATGCAATGGGCAAGCTGGCACGCAAGCTGAGGGTCTGAGGAAGCCGCAGTGAGGGACTCACCTTCATCCAGGTCCCTGGAGAAGCGGTTGAGGATGCGGCCGAGAGGCGTGGTGTCAAAGAAGCTCATGGGGCTGTGGAGGACTCTGCGGAACAGGTGGTCGTGGAGCGTGGAGGCGGCTCTCAGCGTGAACTGGTAAAGAGACACAATGCGCGTCACTCCGCACCACAGCGCACACGCAGGGGCTGCATGAAATGCACTGGATATTGTTAGTTTGCTCAATAACAACAACATTTCTAACACGGCTCTGTACTAAAGAGTCAGGCAATTTAAACTGCAGGCTCACAGTAATTTTTTTTTCTCTGGGAACTCTGAAAATAAGAAATAAATCAGAATGAATATATTGCAAACAAACATTTAAGGACCTAATGACTTTTGGCATAAATTAAAAATGTGGGTTTTGAATTTAATCATTTAAATTCACATTTTTGTCATCACACCTCTGGAAGATAGACCATCTTTCTTTGAAGATCTAACAAACCCAAACATACTTAAAAATACAGGGGGAAATTTAAATGCCCTTGCGGGGATAATTCCCACAAACAGAAACGCAGGCAAATTCTAATACAATTATACTGGTTCAGTGAAGATAAATGGATGTATCCCGCAGGCGCTGCTCGCAAATGTTCTTTCAATTATTGCAATTCCTGTCAAGGAATTATTGCACAGAAAGGAAATGAAACAGAAAGACACTGACTGAAAGTCTCAGAAATTCTGGGACTATTCTCTGCATTTCTGAGAGATACAAATAGATTCCCCACTGAAAAACTGGAGGATGTTATTGACAGAAGTTTGTAGTTTAGGAGCTGTGCAATTCCATGGGTCTCTGCAACAATGGGTAGGTGCACATATACTTACAGCATGCGGAATCAAACAAACTGTCATGTGTGCTTACACATGTCAGTCTTAATGACACAGTGAACAGCTAAACAGAACTGTTAACTGTTTAAGAAACAGAGTTCCGGTTTTTCTTCACCAATCTGTGACAGCTGGCTAACAGTGAAGAGAGCGTAGAGATGATAGTGGCTGTAGAGAGACTCTCTAGTCTCTGTAGTGCTGCCTGTACAGCTTGTAACTCATAATGCAAATGAACTAAAAAAAACACAATTTCAGACTTCTCAATATTTATAGCACGTTCATTTCCTAAGCACAAAAGCAGATGTAAATTTACTGCTTATATTGTGTGCACATAAATAAATAAACTTAGATTAGTGGAAAAGGCTTGTGAGCTCTGAACCCTTTCTCCTGAGGCACAGAAGAAACAGGCAAAGCTACTTTGCACATCTCAATGTGAGGCACTAAATTAAGGCAAGTGGCAGCAACTCTCAAGGCAAAAAATGGAGAAAAAAGGTCTTTATTTTTAGGAAAAACAGCAGCGCTTTTCAGCAATAAATGATTGTCTGGATATCATCATGGGATAGACACAGCTCTGGTAAAACTAATTACAAGAATTCATTGCTTTTATCTCAAAGGATCACAAAGCTCCTTGCATACAAGAGGGGTCCCACTTCATCCCCCACTGATGTGCAGCACCCACTTAGGTGACACATGGCAGCCATTGGCAGCACAAGAGTTAACGCCCCTATTCCTTTGAACATAGTTCTTTAATGGGATCTTCAATGGTATAGTAAAAAGGACCCCTGTTTCACATCTCATCCAAAGGATGACACCTCCTGCACCACAGTGTCCCAGTTCACCACACTGCCACCTACGGGTCCACCAACACCACTGACAGCAGCAATCTGATTTTCCCTGGGCTCTCCCATTTTTGATAGCCAAGGCCTTGCTGATGGATACCTTCACGAACACCAGCCCCCGCACTGCCTTCAGCAGCAGCAGGGCCACCACGGAGAGCATGTAGACGGTGGAGTAGGCCTGGAAGTGTGGGTTCAGCCTCATGCTGTCACTGGCCACCGTCTCGTTCCCCAGGAGCTCCGACGAGTTCTGAGCAGAGACAGACAGACCGGCCACAACCGCAGGAATCAGAACATCTCCATCATCGTTTACATACAGTCACTTGCCACAGCAATCTTAAAACAGCAAACAAAAAAACTGGGAGCAGTTGAAATGATGTACAGAAGCTGTGTTTTGTCTGTTTCTCTAACATTGAGAGGCAGGATAGTATAAATGCCTGTCTCAATCACGTTTTTCAAAAACAGCCAAAATTCAAACTGGGAGTCTTGGTACCCCGGAACCTGGTCAATGTTGAACACAGAGAAAAAGAATTGAATCCGTTTGTCCTGACCTGGTCCTTCCGTTGCTAGCAATTTAACATTCAAAGAATCTCATCAAGCTACAGCTTAAAAGATCTCACAGAGTCAGCGTTAAGAATGTGTAGACGAAGTTTGATCCACACTCCCAAAATGCTCCGGGAGGGCCCACTCACCCCACTGCCCTGACGGATCCAGTAGCTCAGCCACCAGTTACTGAAGGCAATGCTGCCCGTGGTGAGGAGGAAGAGGAAGATGTTGGTGAGGAAGGCCAGGGTGCCCCCTGCTGCCTTTATGTAAGCTCTGTACACAGACCAGGACACTGCCCCAAGGCCCTTCTCCTCTGTCTTCATCAGCTGGCTTGCTGGAGAGGCAGAGACACACGCTGAGACAGAATCGGTCTCGTCTTGCTTCCTTGGAGAGAGAGAGTCACATGCACAGGCCTTTTCCCCTGGTGATGAGATTTGCTGAGTATTTTCTATATCCATAGATCACTGATGTAGTGTATATCCTTACTGCTGAGGCCAATCACCCCCAGTTCCCTGCAGTGGATTAACTCTGATACAGCAATATCCCATTTTGTCAATGCCGGGAGCTGGAGACCCTGCAAACATGCCTGGGGACAGGTGCAGGGATAGAGACTGTGAGAGCAGCGCATCCCTCACCTGCCCTCCTGTCGCTCAGCTCGCTGTCCGTGGTGCTGATGCTGGGGGACAGCTGGGCTCTGCCCTCCACACCCTGCAGTCTGGTGCTCATGTCCTTCCGCACCAGGTTCTGCAATAAAGGGCTTCGGCTTAGAGCACCAGAGGAGATATCACAGGGGTTTCTGGGCATAATAACATGCTGTTGCTTGTCTAAGGAAGGAACAGAATGGTAAATACAAGATTTACTATAACCATTATAAAAGGAAGAGGGAAAACATTTTCCTTCACTTGTTGTTTTATCTGCCATCCCCATGGTATTGACCTTTGTGGTGATGGCACCTGAAGAGCCTTATGTCTCTTGCCTGCTCAGAAGGACGGGCCCCCGGCTGGGCGCTTACCTCCCGCTGCAGGCTGCTGAAGAGCATGGCGTAGTGGTGGCCCCGGGCCATCAGCTCAGCGTGCGTGCCCTGCTCGGCAATCCGCCCCTCCTCCATCAGCACCACCTCGTCGCACTCGGGCAGGAACTGCCAGACACCAGACACGCGTCAGCAAGCTCTGCCCCCACGCCAGGGGCAATCTGACCAGAGGGTAGATTCACTACCACTCAGCAAGCGACAGGCTCAAGGCAGGGCACACCCTGGACGGGACACCATTCCATCCCAGGGTGGATACAGCCACAGACACTCAAGGCTGGGCCAGTCTTCCTGGTTTTTGCATGGTGGGAGGAAAGCGGAGCACCCAGAGGAAAGCCACGTGAGCGCAGGGAGAAGTTACGAACCCCCAGGTCCAGAACTGAACCCAGGGCTCCAGCTCTGTGAGGCAGCAATGCTGATCACTGCACCATCATGCCATCCTCAGGACTTAGATATGAATCCAGAAATCCTGCGCCTGCTAGAAAAGTTGTTTAAATTTTGAGTAAAAGAAAACTGGAGCACAACTGTACTTCATTCAGAAATGATGTATAAATTCAGAGCACTAATGGCTGATGAGTATTTGCACACATGCACGGGCCAGCTGGTGATCAGCAACAACAGCAGACGCTCCTCATACACAGCAGGGTGCAGAACCCCGAGATGTCCTACCTGCAGCTGGTGTGTGACAAACAGCACAGTCTTCCCCTTTGCTGCCCCTCGGATGGCGCTGTGGAACAGGTGAGCCCCCACGTGGGCATCCACGGCACTGAGGGGGTCGTCCAGCAGCAGGAGGGGCCGGTCGCTGTACAGGGCTCTGGCCAGGCTGACACGCTGGCGCTGGCCGCCACTGAGGTTGGCTCCTCGCTCCCCGATCTACAACACAGCAAACATGCGGAGACCAGCAGCTCCACAGCCGCAGAGCCCAGCCTCAGGAAGCATGGGGCCTCCGAGCAGCTGGGAGGACACTGGGGCTGGAGCCTGGCCATGCTGGAATATGACACATATCCGAAATATAAAGAAACTCTCTGAGAAAGCCCTGTGAGGGCCCAGAACTGGAAGAGCTTCCAGAGCTTGAGGGAGACTCTAACAGTAGTTAATGAAGCGAGTTGTGTGAGAGACAATCACCTCCGTCATGTCTCTATGGGGCAGCTCAGTAATGTCAGGGTCCAAGCAGCAGGCCTCAAGAACAGCTCGGTACCTGGGACAGGGAGTAGGAGGAGCGATAAGAAGACAGGAGCTGTTAAAGAGAGAACTTGCACAGAGTCAGGCTCCCAGATTCAATCAAGGTTTCATAAAAAATACAAAAGTATCCTTAACCAAAAACTTAAATTGTCTGTGTTACGGAACAAAGAAGCCTAGACAGACAGATGGACAGACAGAGATGCTGTATCTGCATTTCTTACTTTTCCTCATCATGTTTATTTCCAAACAAGATGTTTTCCTTCAGCGAGTCATTCAGAATCCACGCCTGCTGCGGTACATAGGCAAACTCCCCTGTCACTGCAATGGAACCTTCCAGCAGGGTCATCTGGAGAGAACAAACACCTGAGGGTGAGGCTGGGACTGAACCATTGCAAGGCTGGGCAAGAGGCCAGTGTTCCAGATAGAAGCAAACTGGGTGCAGAACAACAGACCAACGGATACACAAGAGAAACCTCACTACTATAAATATTCGTTGTTTTTTATCAGAAAAAGCGGTGTGATGTAGTGGTAACAGCTCTAGACAGAAGAGTTGTTGGTTCACACCCCAGGCAAGGTGCTGCTATTGTTCCCCTTAAGTGAGATATTTCCCTCAGCTTGTTCCAGTAAAGGTCCTGCTGTATAAATGAGTCTCCAGCCAGTCACTGTCAATAGGACTTTCTTTTCAATTGACCTTGCCGGTAATATAAAAAAATAAACAATGCTTTTGAATCAAGAACGGGACTAATCACAGATGACCAAGAACATACAGCTAATTCACAAAACTCTTGAAAAGCTCCAGTCATGGACAGGCATAACAGAAACAATCCCAATGAAGGAAGAGAGGGATCTCCGAGGAGAGGCTGAGACGCAGGAGGAACAGCACCACACTGGGCCAGGGCGAAGAGGACAGGGCGAAGGTGAAGAGACTCGGGGAGCGCGGCCTCACCTGTCCCAGCAGAGCCGACAGGAGAGAACTCTTGCCGCTTCCCACAGCACCACAGATCCCCAGCAGCCTGCCCTGCGGACACAGCACAGCCGTGAGCGTGCGACAGGACAGGAGTCTCCCCCTCCGGATTAACAGCACAGCCGTGAGCGTGCGACAGCACAGGAGTCTCCCCCTCCGGATTAACAGCACAGGGCTGGCTGTAATCGTCACTGTGAAGGAGGGCTCCCAGACGGAAGAACACAAAAGCACAGTGGAGGGCAGTAAGTTGGCAGAGGTGGGAGCTTGTGTAGGAACACACAGCAGAACCACAGCCTCAAGGGGGGAGAGCCGGGTGCGAGCTATACCTTCCTGACGTGCAGGTCCACCTGCAGCAGCTGGCGAGGGTCCTGTCCTGAGGTCACGGTGCTCTGAGGGCTGTCCTGCTCCATGTTGGGGAGGAGGAGTGGGCCGCTGTGCTCCCCAGGGCTGCCCTTCTCCTCCTCCCCGGCCATGGACCGGCTCAGCCTCTCCTCCCGTAGCTCCCTGTCCATCCTCCCCGCTGGGCCAGACCTGGCGGCTGCTGTCCGGCCGCTGTCCCTTCTGCTCGGCCAGGCCAGCGTGGCCCCGCTGAACTCCACTGCATTCTTGGGGTCCTCCACCCTCGCCGTCAGGGCCGCGCGCTCCTCCATCTGGAACAGCCGCTGCGGGATGGAGACAGGCACACTGAGTAGCGCCCCCAGGAAGAGAGCTTCCCGGATTCTCTTTGCATTCAAAATTAAACTCACACCCTCCATGGGCACAATCGGTGGAAATCAACTTTCTGTTCATCTTAATATCTGTTCCCTATAGGTTCTGTTCACATTTTTGTTAAAATTAAAAACAAGAACTGTTTGCCATAGTGTTGAAAAAAGGTATTACCCACAATTAAGACTATGGCGAGTTTACAGAGCCATGATCGAAGTGATCAAAGGAATTTCTGCCACAGTTGTTTTCTTCTTCTAAATGAACTCCATATCAGTAATCACCTGAAAACGCCTCACTGCCACAGCACCTTCAGACAAAGTGCGGATAGCCAAGGGTATGACCTTGAGGGCAAAGGTCATGGAATTGAAGATGGCGACCACAGTGAAGGCCTGTCCAGGAAAAAGAACAGAGGACCAGCTCAGCTTGTTGTGCAGTCTTTCAAGGAAGATCCTGGGATAAATGTGACACACGACTCAATGGATGTGTAGTGTGTAATAGTTACATGAGTACTTCAACTTTATGAGTTAGAATCATTACTTCAACTTTACTTCAACTTTATGAGTTAGAATAATCAGAATCCTCTATCTGCAGAAACCAATTCAACCTAACTCTGAAGCAAATGATAAAATATGGCACAAGTAATAGGTTTATTCCATGCTGAAAAAAAAGAAGAAAGAGAACACAATGTTTCGACCGTGGAGCCTTCTTCAGGTGTGAGAGAGACACTGCAGTAGGCAAAGGTAAAGTAGCGGGAGAACAAAGGCTGGGAGGGAGGAGGAGTGAGAGGCGGGAGCAGGGGACAGAAAGAGAGGCCAATCAAGAGGTGTGAAGTCAGAATGGGTGCAGAGAGGTGTGAAATGAAACTTCCAATGAATAGAGAAAATTTAAAAGAACAGTAGTCTGTCGTTAAGAGAAGGGAGAATGTGTGATCCTAGTTGCAGAATAATTTTAGTTTCGGTGGTCTTTCTGATGTATGAATTCGGGAAAACCGTCTTTGAGAACACAGACGGAGAGATTAGAGTGGTCGTGGCCATCAGAGGTGAAATGAGAAACAATGGGCTTGGAGAGATCTTTAATCTTCACAGCCCTGACGTGTTCTCTGAAGCGGTCTCCGAGTCTCCTTCCTGTTTCTCCAATGTAGATGGCTGGGCATTTACTGCAAGAGATACAGTAAATAAGGTTGCTGGAGGTACAAGATGCTGTCTGGGTGATCCGGAATTGTCCTGAGGGGCCTTGAATGAGTGTGGTGGTGGATGTGTACTTGCAGGTGATACAGCGAGCTCTGTTGCAAGGGAAAGTGCCTGGTGTGGATGGTTGTTGAGGGCGGTCAAGGGAGCTGTGAACAAGGAGGTGGGAAAGTAGGATGGAAAAGTTGTGGTTAACTGTCCTGGGGATAGGAAGTGTGTTAGGGTGGTAAGGAAGCACCAAAGGAATGCGGTTGTTACGGCGGGAGTTCCTGATTGAGTTGGTGGTATGAGGGGTGTTTTTGGCTCATAACCCAGTGCCATGCACAGAGTGAACCCACCTGAGCTGCGCTGAGGTCATAATCCAGCGCCATACACAGAGTGAATCCATCTGAGCTGCGCTGAGGTCATAACCCAGCGCCATGCACAGAGTGAACCTACCTGAGCTGCGCTGAGGTCATAACCCAGCGCCATGTGCAGACTGAAAGTGCACACACTGGCGATCACGACAACAACCGGAGCCATGCCCACTGTAATGGTCTGGACATAGCCAGCTCGCTCCAAGATCCCCTGCTCCTTCGACCGGACCTCTGGGACACAGAGAGGGAGCGAACGATCAGTCTGCCGAAACGCAGCTACAGTACATGACACCAGACAGGATGAGTAGCGAACACAGAAGCAGCTGCCAGGGACTTAGAAAAAGACTTTAAAGATGAATTGGTCAGACACTTGTCCAGTCAAAATAAGACATTATCAAGTACACAGAGATCCACACTGGAACACACTGGAACATAACCACATGTGATTCCCCCTTCATCAGCTGTGCCTCCCTGCGTCCCTGAATCGGCTGGTGAGAGGATCTTAGGCGCCATCCTTCATAGCCAGCCTCAGAGGAGCACTCAGAGCATGCGGATACTAGGAGCTCTGCACCTTCCATTTTACTGCTTCCTGTTCTCTAGCCAAGATATATTACAGTGTCTCTGATCATGTAAATGTTTCTGTGCCCTGCATCAGGCAGTACCCTGGTACCCCCTCGAGCTTGAGGGGATTATTCAAACTATCGCAACCAGTGTTTCTGCCTCCTGAGATATAGGCAAACTCACAACCCAGCAGCAGAAACAAGGTGTTCTCCCAGATGAAGCAATAAACCGTGTCTTCTGTAAATTAAAGGAATATTGTTCCATTTAATTTAACAGCTAAAAGATGCCAACGACAGGATGAAGTACACTCTGTAGTTTTTCAGATCTGTTATTCAAACCATAAGGAGAGTTATATAGAGATCTCCCATTGATGGTTATTAATTAAAGCCAATGTCTAAACTGCAGGTTAATGGAATTAACGGGCTGTCAAACTGGAAAGAAGCTGTTTGTTTAATTGGTGCTCCATTCTGAAGCACCTAAGGATCCTTATCTGTGATGAATGGGACAGCTTCAATGTTCACTCATTTATTTAATCACTCCTTGGCTGAGCAGCAAGGACTACTATGGAATTCAAGCACTAGAGAGCCTTGGCCTCTCAGATCAGCCCTGAAGACTAGAATTTTACAGCAGCTTGGGTAGCAGCAGGGCAGAGAGTAGTTTAGGACAGTGAAGCTTGTTAAATGAATCACTTGGGTACTGGAGAGATGTACTGAAAGGGCTGGAAATGGAAATTTGGGGAGATGTCCATTCTGGTGCACATACTGATGTGTGGATGTGGGAAAAGAGAGGTGCTGGCAGAGACTTAGGGAAAGAAAAATAGAAATTTAAGAGAAACATTTGACCTCTATTGAAGACTTCCTTCATGTAGGGATCCAGGTTAGCTTATATACAGTACTGTGCTCCTGGCTGAAACTCACACAGAGATTTAGGAATAAAACTATAGCCTGGCTAGGTGCCTGTCTGCGTCACTATGAGCTGATGTACAAACTGAGGGGTCTCCAGTGTGCCCACTTGCAACTTGGAGAGCTGAGACACAGGTCGCTGGGACATTACTCACTGTGCACATTATGAGCGAAGGCCTTCTCCCAGCAGTACATCTTGATGAACTTAATGCAGCCCAGAATTTCGTTCATGAGGCGCACACGCTGGTCTGTCACAGCGACGCACCGCCGTCGATAATGAGCCGTCAGCCGCGAGGCAACCATCTAGCAGAGGGGATGGGAGTTAAGCACATCAGAAGATAGGAATCAAAGAGCGAGAGCTGCACAGAGTGCTCATTGACTGGACAGCTCTAACTCGCTTGCATCCTACATGCTTCTCCCAGAGGGAATAAACTGGGCACAATATACAGAATCAAAGTCACACCCTACTCCCTTCTGTTTACAAAGAGGAGCTTGTTTATTCTACAGTGTGATAGGGAACTCTAGGCAGATTGGATAAAGTAAAAAAAATCTTCATCAACATTTTTCATCAAAAAGTTTTTTTTTTTCATGACACTAAGGAGAAGAGGAAATAGAATCATATGGAAGTTCAACAAGCTGTGATTTTCGCTGCAGAATGATGTCACAGATTCTGATCACATGTCACAGATAGAAAAATCAGCCTGGAACTTGTAAGTTCTTGTCTATGCTTGCAGGAGAGGTGACCTGAAGTTCTGAATTAGTTAAGAAGGGCAATTTTCCAAACTTTAAGAACCAGCCTGATAATTGGGGTGATGTTACAGAAAAGTTTTTGTGTAGTAATTGGGTTATAGACAAAAACCTGAGATGGGACAAATGTTGTGGAACCATTTTTTAAAAAGGGCAAAAGAGAGCCTATTTCTTGGGAAACTCCACTTTATAAAGATAGAAAGAACTACATTTTCTACAAGTCATTTATTGAATGTGTCTTAACATACTGTCTCACTTGTTGGTTTGGCAATGTCAATACTGTTAATTGTAAAAGGTTGGGAAAATTAGTGAAAATAAGTAGAAAAATAATTGCAAGAAATCAAATTAACTTAAATATCCTCTACAAACAAAGGGTTGTAATGAAGGGCAAGAGTGTCACTCCCATCTGGTCTTATCCCTGCTGCGAATCTCTCTTCAACAGTATAAAGTAAATCTCTTATCTCCTGTATCACCATGGTACTGTCTTCTCTGTTGTACAGTTGTATAGTTCTATTGGACGTATTGGACTGGCTGTAAGTCAAATGTCCCCCAGAGGATAATAAAGCTGGAAATGCACAGAATTTGCTAACAGCTCTGACCTGCTCTGACCGACCCACACTGCAGACATTGCGTGCCGCAGGGTTGCTGTGTGAAGGTGTCCCGAGAGGGGGCGTACCATGGAGGGGTAGAAGAGGATGAAAACGGCCGAGCCCAGCAGTGCAGTGGGTCCCAGGAAGGCAGCAGTGTAGGACAGCCCCAAAGCGGCCACTACAGGGCCCCCTGCCAGCAGGCACCCTGTAACGGCCGCCTCATACAGCCGCTGCCCATCGCCGGAGCACATGTTGACCAGCTGCAGGAGCGGCAGGCAGGGAGAGGGTGACATGAGCACGCAGCCGCAGCCTTTCCTGCAACATCATCCAGCTTCTGGAGCCTCTAGCTGAAAGTACCCCTCTAATGGACATAATTACAGAAATACCTCTTGGCAGCCTTTACAATCACGGCTATATACCACAGAGCCCTGCAAATCGTTGTGTTTTCACACCCGAGAGAGAAAAACAGACACAACTAACACTGCCAAACCCTCCTCCAGTTCTTTAAGTTCTTTATCACCCTATCTTCTCTAAGAGAACAGGAGGACAGCAGTAATCTGAAGAGAACTGTGACAAAGAAGAAAATTACACCCCCAAAGCTAAATAACAGCTGCATTGTGTCCAAAAATAGACACAGACAAAAGGTTAGAGTGCTTTGAAACAAATAGGTTTTCTTCACTATAAGCACACAGCAACAGAGAAGGTCAGCGCAGGTTCAACATGTAGTGTTTATATTACATTTCCATTATCATACATAATTACAAGTTTTTTTAAATGGTAACAAAAAATATACAGAGGCAGACCAGTCAAAGGTCAAAACACCTGTTACACAGCATTCTTCTTTGCAAGGCTCTCACTAACAGGTGGCCACAGAAACACTCACCTCCCCAACACTGGTGTCCTTGGTGCTGCGCAGGCGCAGGATCTTCTGGAAGGCAAGGGTGAGCGCTGCCCCCCGTAGGCGGGTGGCAGTGCGGTAGTTCACAGCCCACATGAGCGCAAAGGACCAGGAGCGGGTCAGCTCCATCAGGAAGATCCCACCCACCAGGGACAGGCCGTGCAGCAGCCTGGGCTCTGGGCTCTGGGAATACTCCAGCAGGGCACGGACCAGCAGGGCCTGCAGAGGGACCGGGGCCGAGACAGGAAGGCGGGGAGACAGGGGACACAGAAGCGAGAGGAGGGTGAGACAGGCGACAGGGTGTTTTTGGAAAAGATGAGAAGAGGCAGAGGTGGGTGACGTGTATATGAAAAGGAGGAGAAGGAGAGGGAGGGGAAAGACAGTAAGAGGATCGTTCGATTGTTTTTCGCACTCAACAGGCTTACAGTAAGCAATGAAAAGCCAGTTGAGTCCTTTGTGATAAGAGTAACCAAAATGTTATCTGATTATTGTTTTTGGAGACAGAAACATACTGCATAAAAGGTGGGGGGGGGGGACCAACCTTCCAATACCAAGCTCTTATCTAGAGTTACCTGTGCTCATTAATGATAAAGTGCAAAATGGGACAATTTTCAAATAAGATCTGTCAGTGAGGATGGATCCTCACCGACAGCATGCAGCGACTAAGCATCAGCTGCTTAGAATGTGTTGTAGTTTGTTCTTTGCTTTCGCTGTTTTTCTCATCTGGTGCATGCTCAAAAGAGCCCATATACTCAAAGCAGAACAATTAGACATTGTTATATCTTTTCTGCTGAGTCATTTAAATAAACCCCTGAGTATGTAAAGAGAACTTTCAACACAAAGAACAGGAACAGTCCTGTAGAAATTCCTGGGTGTGACTGTTATTTAACAGCTATGTATTCACAGCACTGAAACAGAAGCTTCCATGAAGCTCAGACCTTTACAACACGTAAGTCCTTGTACAGATACTATACACTGTTCTACACTGAAAAGTAATTTCATATCTATTTACAAATATACATGTATCCAAAGACTGGATATAAATTAATTTAGAAAGAACTTTATAGGGATGAGCCATGTAGAGATCTACAAACACATGGGTGGGGTAAATTTACTGAAGTCCTGTATTAACCTTGCTGGAAAAATTACAAATCTCAAGGATACACAGTAAACCGTAAAAAACAAAGAAAGTCTTTAATAAACAGTAGTTAAAATAAAATTTAAACTGGAATTATTAAAAGGGCATTAAGGATGATGATGCACAATCCAGCAAGGGGAAAAAGATCTAAACCTACAGGCCCGGCGAAGCCTGTGACCATGGTAACCAGCAGGGCGAAGATGGCCACCAGAGTGCGCGTCTTACAGAACCTCCACAGGACACTGGTCAGCGAGGCCCCCTCTCTGCCCCTCCTCTTCAGCTCCTCGTGCCACAAGCGCTCCAGCCTGGCACAGAGAGACAGGGAGGCAAGGAGACAGCAAGATCCATTGAGGACAAGAGAACTGGCAGCAAAGGAAAATCACGGAGAGAAACAGACACACAAAGCGTGGCTTCCATACTACAGGAAGTGTGTTTCAAACTGAGTCACATAAAAATTTAAAAAATCCATTCCATTGGGTAAACTGACTCAACTCAAGTGGAGCCAGAAGCAGAAATGCCATTGAAATTGGATGATTCTTGTAACCCTAACCCTACCCTGCCCTGAAATGTGTGCTCATCTACTCTAATTAACTTACTGAAAATATGTCTATACAAGGTCCATTATGAAAGAAAACAAATTTACAAGAGTGTTAATGGGTGGATTTAATTATTTTAGGCTCATATTTTTTGGATTGAGGAATATAACATCAATATTACATCAATTTCCCTTCTGGATCAATAAAGTCTTATCTATTTTCAAATCTGATGAATGGAGGGCTTCAGAGACAGATCGCAGGATTGTTCTGTGGAAACCCCAGCTAGGGTTAGGGTTAGCAATCCCACAGTAGTTAGACATTTTTAATCCTCAAGTCTGTACTTTGGAGCTCAAATGAACTCTAGGAAGAGTTCAGAAAAAGTCCATTCCACTGGATAAACTCTCACAATTTTGTCATTTCAAGTGGAACCAGAAGTAGAAATTGTGTCAACATTGGATGGTTTTTATAACCCTAACCCTAGCCTTGCCTGAAATATATGCTTGTTTAAATACCATGTTAAAAGCATTTTTTAAATGATTAAAAACTACCGACAAAAGATACATTATTAAAGAAGACAGATTTAAAAGAGTGTTTATGAATGGATTTCTTTTAGGCTCATGTTTTTTGGATTGAAGAACATTTTCAAATCCAATACACTGTGCAGTAGTGTCAGGGTTAAACAAAACAGATAGCTGGCATTCCTTGAACTATACATTCTTGTGATCAAAATTTCGTTCAATGTCCAATACATCTCCAACACTCAAATGAATCTGCCGTCAGAGACACAGTTGAGGTTTTTGAGTCCTTGTACATGTGCTCACGAGACTGTGGCTGTAGTGTGGACTGCTCTCTTGCTCACTCTCACTCATTTTCTACTGAACTGCTCTTAGCAGGGAGGCAGCAACTTTTAACTTTTTTCCTCATCTCCACCCTCTAACCCCCAGTACACACACAGACCACTTGAGTGAGTCAGTATGTTTCTGTTACTGCAGCTTATCGCCATAGAGGGCAAGCAGGAGTGAGTACATTCCGACTGCAGGACGGGTGCAACAGAGAATTCAACAAGTAAACTTCTTAGCACATCTGTAATACTAATCAATGATTACACAAAGAGATTTTGATGATACAAGAGATAATAAAAGTAAAAACAATTGTCATTCCAAATATTTACTTCTAAAACACTGGTGGCTGGATTCCACTGGTCCCACGGGTTTCTATTTAAGTCCAAGCCCTGGGTCCTGTGTCACTCAAGACTGACCCTCCTTCTGTAACACTTGACCCTTCCTGCCAGTTTCTATAAACAGCTCAGCTGCCAATGAGACACTCAGCTTAGAAGAAACAACCTGAGGACAGAGGAACAGTCTTAATGATATAACCTGTTTTAGGAACAGTGACTCTCTAATCTTTGCTATTAATAACAACCTTGGCAGAATTATTCCTGCCATCATAATACAGAGGTAACAGGGAAACTCCTCTGTCTCTCCTTGACTCAGGGAATCCCACGTCAAGAAAAAAGCAGCTCCAGTGATCCAGCATGCTCCCTGCCAGCTGCTCATCTCAGACACACATAAGGGGTTTCGCAGTAGAGCTGACCTCAACAAGGACACGGCTACAGCAGATTCCGCACACTAGCAAAGACCTGCCTGACTTGAGCAAGAATTAAATTTGCAGTAGCTCATGCAATAAATCACATTATAATCTGTTAAAAAATAATCAAAAGAGAATGTCATGATCAAAAAATAGTGTTGCAAAGCCTTTGTTCTGAGGTTGTGGTAGCTACAGTTGTGCAGAAATCTGCAACAACATGACTGTAAGACGGTTACCCTTCTGAGAGGATAAGGCACTGTGGCAGAAGTACCTGATTGTGAAGAGTAACAACACTCCCCCACTGGAGATAATAAACAAAGATGGGCAGTTGGTCTGTCTGCACTCTTAACCTGAAACTAACTGGTTGCACTCTAGGTCCTACAGAGGAGACTTTACACCTCATCCTGGAGTGGGGTGGGTATACAGTTCCATCTGCGCCTCACCGTTGGCAGTTGGTGTCAGAGGCCTCGTGGCAGGAAAGCCCCCAGATGTTGCCCATCTCCAAGCTAGACATCCTGTGGGCCCTCCAGGCCAGTGGGGACAGCCACTGCAGAGTCATGAAGGAGAAGAGCCCTGCGTTGTCCACAGGGTGCTGGTGCCTGCGAGGGGAAAGCAGCACTGTCAGGCCTGCAGCACCGAGGGCTGAGACCTCTGACCGAACTCCAGCTAAAGAGAAAACCCACAGGCCCCAGACTGCAGCTGCTGGACTCCATGTCAATATCACTGTACAAATCCACTGGATTACTCTGGGACAACAAAGGTCAGCAGCTGACACAGCAGAAGTGGTCTATTTGCTACAGTGTTCTCAAAAGTGTGTATCAAGACGTCTTTGCAAGAACTGTGCTTCAGAAACAATCTTTCCTCTGGGAGGCCTGACAGAAGGCAGACCCAGCATATTTACAGAGCAGTTTACAGGAGAATCAGGCGTCTCTCAGGGTGGCAGAAGAGCACAGTGTGAGGTTGTGAATAAAGTCCCCTGGGTCCACCTACCCAGCCAGAAGCGCTCAGGACTCACCTGTGTGTGGTTCTGACTGGCTTGAGCAGCTGCAGGCTGTGACGGTACCTGCCCTTCCTTTTCACCCCTCTGTCCTCCTCCTCCAGGTCCAGCAGCGCCCGGGGGTCGGTCAGGGCAGGGTTGTGCAGGGTCAAGCCCTCTGCCCGGCCCACGGACTCAAGGGCATCAGGGTACACAGCGGGATTCTGAGCCTGGGACACAAGCATGGGGCATTAGGCAGGAACAGCAGAGCAGGGGCAACAACACTAGTTATGGGCTGACACACTGAAGAGGCCCTGCAGCCTCAATGATGTTCATTCCACAGCTCTGCAACAACACCCACTGGAGCCACCAGGAGATTTAACAATGCTGAAGCTGTTTATGACAGAGCAGAAGAAGTATCAGAGGACAAAACAAGCAGTTCAAAATGCTCTCTGCAGGAGTTAATAATGAACACCAAAAGAAGGGTCAAAACCCAGAATAAAAGAATGAATGATTTGTTCCAAAATAATTACCACTGCTAATTGATGTTGAGAAACTAGCCATACTGCACAGCTGTCTGCTAAGCAAATAAATCATCAAAGCAATACTGCATGTCTACTGGTCTTTGTTCCTTGCTGGATCGCCATGCAGACTACTGGTGACAGAAAGTGCCCTGCAAGAAGGTCACTTGGAGGGAATATACGGTACAAGCCGCTTATCTATTAAAAGAAGTTGGCTTGTAACACCAAGGGCTTATAGAGGCGGGACTGGCAGACCTACAGTATCAACTGCATGTGCGTCTCAAACAAATGTCCCAGTTTCTCCTGCAGCACAGTCAGCGATAAGCACAGTGCCTCTCGGTGTGCTCAGCAGATAAGTCACAAGCGCACAGAAAACACGCAGTTGTTGGGGTGGACAGTTCAGATAGCACAGAGCCTTTGGCTGAATGGGACACTGTTTGTTGGATTACAGATACACAAAGAAAAAATTACTTGTACCATTAGAAACCTTGGCTAAATGAGGAGATAAGTTTAAGTGAATTTGACTCAGAACAGTGTACATGCGAACTGTGAGTGTCAATAGAGTACTTATGGAGTAAGGGCTGCACTGAAGAAATGTCACAGGTGCAGGAAAAATCAGAGCTAATAATACACCCCGACCTCAGCGTTGTACCCGTGTCCCTTACAAATACATGTACCACCTCTAAACTAGTGCACTCGGGGGCTTGTGGTCACGTGTTTCTCTCTCTTAGGAAAGTCAGGTATCGTTTGTGTGAGACCGCATGTCCCCCCAGCGCCTGTTCACAGAGCGCAGCGCCTCTGCAGCCGGCTGACAGGAGTCTGTCAGGATCGGATCGCTGTCATACGTCAAGAAGCTGTTGTATATATCCACCGATAACAAGCGGCAGAAGCTGTCGGAAAGAGGAAAAAAAGGTGCACAGTAGACGAGAGACAGAGAAAGGAGGCAGAGAGCGTTGACGGGTGACTTACCGTTTGGCACTCCGAGTCGGATCTGAAAGTTTCTGAAGCCATGAGCAAAGCTTCCTTGTTCAGAAAAGTGGGCGGCAGCGATAATACAAATAAAATAATAATAATAGTGTTGTGTTTTTCAATTGAATTCAAGTTTTTCAGAAATTCCGGCAGTATTACATAAGGAGCGCGGAGACACCGTAGCGAATCAAACAACTTTCAGAACTCGGTCGCACTTGCGCAGAGCGTCACAGGTGTGCCATTCCACCTGCGAGCATCGTCTGAGCTCAGAGACAGGTGGTTACTCGGAAGACCGCACTTTCCTAGCTTAAACTACTGAAAGCATTATAACAGCGCAAAAGGTGCGTTTTGATTCTTTCCGTGCGGGACGCGGTCTGCGAGGTGCGTCCCTCCAGGCTGTCCTGTCTCCAGTCCCTGTTCCCAGTTCCCAGTCAGCTGCTCTCGTCCTTGCGGAATCTCCGCTGTCAGCTTGACGTCACTGACAGACACCGAACCTGGGGGCAGACGGGATGGTCGCCCAGGCAACACCTGGACCTTCACAGCTGACGGGAGGCGCGGCTGGCGAGCGGACAGGGAGCTACAGTATATTCGGCTGAACCGCTAAACAGGACGCGAGTCTCCCGAGTCTCAGCGTCTCAGCCTCAGTCCCCTTTAACTGCACTGTCCGCTGGAGTACTGTACTGTACCTCGATGTGCTTTGAAACGGAGTGCTTGTGTCTAGTTTATACACTGTGCGAATTGCAGGTTGTACAGTTTTTTTTTTTAAAGACGGATTAAATCTGACAGCATTAACTATCTTCAAAAGTACAATTTGAAAACCCTCGAGCTACAATCAGGTGAGCAGAAATATACGTGCTGAGAGGTTTTCGGATACTGTGTGTGATCCGTTAATATCGGTTAATCGACTTCAATAGTGGAGGAGGATGAACTATTTATGACATTGTTTCTGATTATCCTACGTCACAGTTACCAATTCTATAACTTCTCACGGAATAACATCATAATACTTTCGATAGGGTATTTTTTAAATTTTTGACATGAACGGTCTTAAACAAGTTTTATATTGCTTGTAGTAATCAGTGAAGTCGCAACTCGCAACTAATGTTAAAACAACGGGCTATAATGAAATACAAGATTTGAAAATAAAAGACAAGGCAAACAGCCAGCTAGTTTTGAATGCAATCCATGAAAGAGTTTTCCCAATCAAACATCTTTAACTGGGTGATGGAAGAGAAGAAGGTATTCGATGGAGATATTTCCAGAAGGAAAGTGTGACATTGAGTGATGTTTCTATGGCAGACAAAACAATCTTCCAGTTTATCTAACCATATCAATTATGTAACATATGTAAATTAAAATTTCCATAACCAATTTCAGTGTCAGAAGCAGAATGACTGAGTGTAATTTTGCATGTGCTCTATTTGATTGTGCTGATGTAAGAGTTTATAGACAGTTTTACTGGAGCTCATCAGTGCGAAACAGCTGTGCCTGCACATCTGCCTGCCTGGCTCATGATATATTGCTCATTGCTCATGATACAGAAGGGTGCATTTATTTAGGTGATACAGTACAGGAGGCCTCACCACAATCAAACACATGCTCTAGTCCAGCTCGGCAGCTCAATGTCCTTCCAATTACAGCCATCTGCACCTGCAGCTGTTGGAGAAGATCAGTGTGGACATAATCCTGCTTGTGAGGGGAACAGCACCGACTGCCTTTCCTAAATGTGCTTTGTATTGTCATATTATTTCACCTAGAAGTCTCCACAGTGTGGAAAGCCATCACTCCACGCTTACATTGTGTCAAATATGGTCAAACCTCTGTGAGACACAATTCTCCAGGCTCTTTATTTAAACAAACAGATTTAAATATTATGTTGTTTTGAACAGCCAAATTTATTTCTGTTTTCTAGTGTCCATATATTGGATAGATATAATATAACAATAACAATCTTCAGACACAATTCCAGACTACACATTTTCAGCCCATTTCTCCCTGTGAGGCAAATAGCTGGCCTAGCTGGTAAGCCAGGGAAAGTCCCTGGTGAGTCTGCAGACTGTTGCTCTTTATAAGCTGGGTTTGGTGCTTCAAATTGCTCTCTTTCCTCTTCTTTTCAGATGCTTTTCACCAGCTTAGTGCTGAACAGTAGACTTCTCACACAACCAGAGCTACTGTCTGCTCTCGGTCTGAAGGAGAGAACGAGGGATTTTAGACCCACAGCTGCACACTGCCTTCAGAGTTTAAGCATTCAGGACCACAGGCTCCATAATAAAGCAATGTGATCTAAGCACATCTAACCTTGGCTGTGTGACTGACAGCCAGCAGTAAACCATACATAAACTGTCCAGAAAATCGTTTAAGTGGTCTCACTTTACTGAGCCAGGAAATTTGTGGAATGCAGACAATCAATGAACTGGATCGAGCCTTCTCTATCAATTTCCTAACAGATCTGTGATCTTGGCTCGTTTTGGCTGTGCTCCAGAGCCAGCCCTCAGCACAGAGCTGGGCCGCATCCTGGTCTATGTCTTGTACAAGGGTAGAGTCTGGACCACGGGAAACAGGGCAGCAGAGGTGACTCAGCACTAACAGTATAAACGCTCTGGTCTGAGGACGTCTAGAAGACCATTTCCTTTTATTTAATTTGTACATCATATTTGTCTAGTTGCTAATTGCAACACTTGTGTGCAAATGTGAAATAAATTACCTTTATCCTCTGTAATACCTGCAACTATATTAAAGTTATCTTTTACTGAGCCTTTTGTTATATGTGTCAAGACCAAGTTAACATAATATCATGATGTTATAATTATATCATATTTAGTGACACGTTAGAGTAACAATCTCCTGATATCAATAATGCAGAAAGTTTTTACCCCCAAATCTCAAATCTCATTAGTTACAACCGTTGGTTTCTGTGACACCGGTCCAACAAGCAGTGCACCTACACGTCTCTATGAAATAATCTCTACAGGGACTCCCCTGGCTTGCAGAGTGTGATCCCAGGCTGCCACAGCACCAGGACCTTGACCACAAGTTACATGAATCCCTTTGTCTTGCCAGTCTCACAAAGCACACTCAGGCCTCTTTGCTCACCTTCAGCAGTGAAGAGAAGGTTAAACGGGAAGGAAAAGAGCAGCTGGGGCTGTATGTGCACAACACATCCTACTGTAACTGGAATACACACTAAATAGATCTGCTGACAACTACAATTTTAGGGCTATGGACATTTCCGATTCTGCAAAGAAGACAGCCTTTCCTGTGGGTTTGGATAACTGGAGCTTTTTATCCTCTAGTAAAAACGGCAAGGAAGCCTTTTGCCAATCTTTGGGGAGTAAGGCTTACAAACGCAGCTATCAATCAAGCCTAATATGGACCATTCATGCGTTTAGTTTGAGTTTTTGGGCTGTCACTGTTAATTTTTCTTCGCTATAATTCTTTGGGAATTGTATTAAGCTTAACGGCCAAAGATCAAAATGCATTAGGAGACAACTCGGCTAATGCTGGTTCAGTTCATATGGCAGTTCTCTGAACTTCAGGGCAGTTTATTCCAGAATAACCATGAAACTTGTTCATAATCATTATGGGAAAGGACATGTAGTCTCTCCATACACAGGCCAGCAGCTCCGGCAGGAAACTGGACAACTTTACAGCAACGCTCACCTGTCAAAGCTACACATCTCACATACATAGGATTGTTTTGTGATGTTGTCTGTTTACTACAAAAAACATGACCTTCACCTTGTGAAGGGCCAGCTATACTGTAACACACTGTGGCCATAATGGTTTCACTGCCCTGAAAACATGTCCTTGATAAAAGAAGCAAAAATAAAACAGGATTTTACCAACATATGAAGAGAACCTGGCAGGTACAGTACATGGCACTTAGATTTGTACTGGCCTCTCCATGCTCCTCACTGCATGTTCTACAGTCTGAGACAGCACTCCAAGCTCATTAGATCAGTCACAGTAAACGGTTTGAAAAAATATGAAAGCTTTTTGAGATCTCAAACTTTAAATGAAAATTACAAAGCAGCACTCAAAATACAAGTCAATGAAAGTCCAAATGAGAAAGTTTAATATTTATAAAAAATTATTTTATTTCTAAAAATACAATTTTTAACAATACAGATGATTGCTGGCTATACAAAGAATGTTCTCTTGTCTTTCATCTTTTTTTCTGAAAGGTAAGAAGATTCACAGAGTTGCCTGTCTGGGACTGTAGCTGATTAAAACAGCTCAGTGGGGCTTCATTGCTGTGAGGAAATGCTGAGAGTGAAAACTGTAGTGTGAAAAGATAATTACAATGATCAAGACAAAGAAAAGAGTTGAGACATTTTATCTTGATAAGCTGACCAACAGACCTTCAGCCAAAATATTTTCATAAATGGTTAAAAATCATGAAAGACTGGTGTTTCGTCTTCTCATCACTCTTTTATCTTTGTGGGTTTAAAACTGATGGACAAAGTCTTGAAAGAGGCAGTGAACAATAACCTTTTCAGCTCTCCTTGCAATTAATTTCAGACCTTAGATAATGTCCTACATTGCACAAAGGAGAAAAAATATCAGCAGTAAAAATGTTCTAGAGGTTTAAGGGAATGATTCTGTACTTCTTTTCTCCCTGCCTTTTAATTCTCAAAGTAATCACTAAACCAAGAGTGCATGACACTATCAATGCTATAATTCTACAGTGACTTTTATAGGGGTGAGTAAATCATACCTGTTCTGCTCACAGATGGAATCGTGGCATTTTCTCCATCTCAAACTAGGTTAGACATGAAGTGGCTCCAGCCATCCTTGGGGCCAGATGGTAAAACTAAACTATATATTACCTGAACACATATAGGAGCTAAACTGCTCCTTTTGCACAGTAGAGGGCACTATTGTATCAGAAAACCAACCACTTGGCACCTGCTGGAGTCCATTATTTCTGGCAAAATATTCCACATTTTTGTGTCTGTGGCTGGACAGGCACACAGATCAAGGAAGACCAGGTCACCAGCCTTACAAAGGCATCTGAGCTGGGGATGATTTCTCAGAGCGTTTGTGCACTGTGCATCCTGCCCAGCTTTATTTCAGGCAAATAGCAAACAATTAAATCTACACATGGAGACTTGCTAAGGTGATATGAGCCAATACTGTTGACTAACTCCCACTGGCAACAGGAAATTGTTTTCATTAGACAATCATTAAACCAAACAGGTAATTATCTAATATATAGGTTTACAGTCACTATTTAACAGGAACGGCCTAAGAGTTCATAAATCACCATTAAGCCTCTGATAAGCAGCTCAGCTTTAATTAGGCATAGAGTGAATCTAGCTACATGCTGTGCTAGACTAAGGTACTGTCTGTGAATTTAAGAAGTGTGAAGGGTGGCTGATTTGAGAATTATTAAATGCTGGCTTTATGCATTGTCGTATGGCATTAAATCGATTTCAGACTCGATTGTGATGTATGTAATCCGTTCCCTTTATTTGCCTTTCACTGTTGCCCCACCTTTAATCCACCTTGAGTGAGAATAACTATGCTTTATATGAGCAACAGATGCTACTAGAGCAGTGGCTATGAACTATGAACAGAAAGGACAGATCGCAAGTACAGGACACCAGTAAGTAGCGCAAAGTCTCAGTATAGAAAACACTTCAGAGCTGAAGTCACAGGGAACAAATAAAAAAACCTCTTATCCAGACGTGTACAGTGAGCTGCAACCAGACTTTGACTCTGACGTTCTTTTTCGACTTCTTGATTGACAACTGGCACTCAACATTAATTTCATATTTCCATGACAGAAAAACAGGACTGTATGATGCAGGTAAATCAACAGCAAGACTGAAGTCAGCATGAGGGGGGGGCAGAAGGGGCCACACCGATCGTCATCTTTTTATGCGGGACAGAAGGGCAGAGGCGTGTGTCCCAGTCGCGAGCCGCACTGACAGCACACCTGGAGATGGAGGTGAAGAGACAGAGGAGCCCCAGCGGCGCCCCACTGTGTCCGCAGCACTGCGCCGCGCTGCCACAGCTCACGAGTGAAGAGCAAAGCAGAGCATTTCTGTTTCTCTGCGTCAGCCCTCACCCTCTGCCAGAACCGACCTTTTCAAAGCGCAGCCTTAGGATGACATAAGAAGGGAAATAAAAAGCCATAAAACAACCATTTACATTTAAACCTAATATTCATATGAACACAGATTTTGAGCTTTTAGGAATAACAATTAGAAAAAATTGAGAATTCCCACGTACAAGAACATAGGAAGTACATTCATGAGGCTGGTGTGATAACTGACCTTCCAGCGCTTCTTTTCTGTAAGATGTGATGAAACTATTGTCTTTGGAATATACCACTGTACATCGTAGTGCACTTGTTCCACTCTGAGAACAAGAAAACACAGAAGAAGAATGAAGAGGTGTTGAAAAGATCACACTTGACCCACAAGGGTAAACCTGCCAACAGCTGGGAACGGCTTTTCCCAAACTCACTGTGTTCATTTCCAGCACAAACCCTTTGGGTCAGTCCTTTCTGCACTAATCAATCAGCCTTTACACTGAGACATCATTTTATGTTGCAGTAACCCATGTAGTGCTGATTACCCAATTACTTTGGCTTATTTATTGCATTTACTAAGCATCAAAAGAACATCTTTCTTTCTTTAGACTTATGGATAAATGCTTTTGGTTGATGACTGACTGCTCAAGAGTCATCGTGACTGTAGCACCTAATGACCTCATCAGCATCCTTGCAAGACAAGAAGGCAGCAGTAATGCCATGGATGCACTCTGTCAGACTGGAGCCCCAAGGAACAATTCTGGGAACTGGGATGACTTGTGGCATCTTGAGCTCAGACACCAGTGAAAAGATACCTACTTGTCCAGGTTCTAGTAGGGGTAAGGGGCACACTTCGACAAAACTGCATCCATTTAAGTTTCATTTGATGCTCAGTATACACACTATCTGTGTGTGTGCATACCTGGAAACAAAAGTACTGAGAAAAGTACCCTAAGGCTATTTAGTAATAAATACCTAATAAATACTTTATAAAATACTGAGTTTTAACTATAGTAATTTACCAGTAGTAACTGAGCACTCAGTCATCAAAGCAAGTGGTAGTCAAGATACCCTAGGTAACAAAGTTCACAGAACACCAATACTGATGCCTACAGCTCTACAGACTCTGGGTGGTCCTGATGTGTGTTTATATGTGTGCGAGTAAAATCTTTGAATGAAAACATATTGCATGTTTTACTTAAGCTACACGCCAAGGCTATGACTTAGAAATTGTCGTGACCTAAGAAATGAAGAAAATATAAAACATACACTACTTTAGGAAACTCAGAAGTGCAGCAAGTGAAGTGCATTAAACTTTTGGTTTCCCAGGGCTACAAAAATCAAACAACTGTTTTTCTTAACTCAGCCATGTAGTTGGCACTCATATGGACTCGGAGAAGACTACTGACTTCACGGGCCGAGCTGTATCCCCCCAACTCCAGCACGCTTTTCAACCTCCCTTCACCCAGTCTTTAAACATTCAAAACACCAAAGGACATGGAATCACAAGGGAGTTACAGTAATTCAAAACCAGCATTACAAAAATCACCTAGAACAGATTTTTGCGAGCATGAAAACACTGTATTTTTTAAGTGTTTTAAAAAACACTAAAACCACCTGATATGTAACTGAAACCTAACTTGGCTACAGAAAGAAAGATGGCCTTTCAGTATAAAAATGACCCAAAAGAAAAGAAAAGAAACTTCAGAAGATACAAAGGCTAAGAGGCTGTCCTCTGGCGGTAGCACAAATGGAGTTATCAGACGCTTTTGCAGAAGCCGAATGGATTGACGCTACCTGAAGGAAAGCCAGGAGGCTGGTCACGCACAGCCACCTCTCTCTTCATGAGAGATAACATCAATGAATGACACGGACTCCAGCTCCAGAGGCACTCTGCACACCCGCCTGTCCCCCACCCCAGTGAGGAAGAGGGGAGACGAGATTAGATCTAGATCAGCTCACCCTGCGGACACCGGCAGGCAGGGCTGGCTGGAGCACATCGACAGCGGAGCTGCTAGAGGCACCGGTTTGCTGCTCTCGGGGGTGAAAGTGGACCCCGGCTGGCTGCACCTGCGCAGTTAAGCATCTCAGACAGCCCAGGGATGCTGAACTGAATGCTGAATGTCCACCATCAAACCAATCATGTCTTCCAAACGAAGAGAAGCTCCTTGCCTTAAAACCATCCATAAGCATTAATGAATTTAAAAAAAAATGTTGAAAATAAATAGAACAAAAACAAACTCAATTGGAAGAAATCAATACATGATTTTCCCTTTTTCTTTTATGATATACAGTATCAAGTTTTTATATATCTAGTGACAAAATCTGCTCAGCAACAGTTAACATCCTGTACACCAAAATATTGTTATTAGAAATGAGAGACAAAATGAACAGAGCAAGAGAGAAAGAAAGAGATACAAAGAAAGAAGATTGGGACCACAGAAGCCCTGATCATGGCGTCGTCTTGTTTGTTATCCAGGCCTAGAGGCTCATCTTGAGGAAGAAAAGGATCCGAAGGAGTTCTGAGTCGGCCTGGGAGACAGACACCGGTGCGGAGCGCGGGTCTGGGCCTCAGACCCTGCCGGGCCCTGCCAGTCTGCCCGTCCTTCCGAGCGAAGCCGGGACCCCAAACCCACCAGGAGTGCCCGGCAAGGGGGCAGGTGTCTGAAAACGCCCTGCCCGTGCTCTGTCTCTGCTCCACGTGCTCCCCTCCTGGCGGCTGCCCTACGCAGTCTTGATGCCCTCGAAGCCACAGAACTTCCACCTCTTCTCCAGGCTGGCTCCCACGCCCGTCAGCTCCTGCCTGAATGTGCAGGGCAGCCTGCTGAGGAGAGCTTCCACCTCGCTGGCGCTGATCTGGACACAGAGCACAACGCAATGACTGAGGAAGGAATTCGACCTTTGATTCAGCAACAGAAAGCCCCATGAGTAAGATATCCCACATTACAAACCCTTAGAACACAAACACACACGCAGAAACGCTGTATAAACAGGATGTCTTTGTGCATACAGAACCACTGAGGGTAGGAAGGTTTTTTAAGTGACAAAACTGCTGCATTGTCAGTACAACTGGTTCTTGCACAAAACTAGATTAACTGTGAGCACAGACCACTGATTGTGACAAATCGTCACAGAAAGGGATAGGAACCCTTGCTCAGGTGTGACAAACATACAGTGCTGCAGGTAAATGTGGGCAACAGCAGATTCTAGGATATTAAATCTAGTTTGAGCTTTAATGTATGAAAGAATCAACATCTCACCCACAACGCCGCAGTAGTAATAAACATGCAGCAAGCGGGGTCATTCATCAGAGTGCTGTTCTGACAAGAGCATCGCTAAGGAAGTGTCTCTCCACAGACTCTTCCAGGCTGAGGTAATGTGATGTGACACAGGACTGAGACCGCAGTCTTAAAGTACTTCAGTACTCTGAGCCTTGTGGTTAAAGGAAGAGGAATCCATGATGCATTTTAACTAGCTGGATTGCACAGGCATAACCCACTTCCATGCTAAACACAGGACTGACGAAACATACTGATCATACAGCATTAAAATGAGATGTTTTTTAATTAAATGTTTTTTTCTTTACTTTCTTTAGACGTAAAATTATTTGGTGGTATTTTTGGGGTTTCAGGAATTTAATACCATATTAATTAAAAATAAAGAAATGGCTTGCTGGTGGCAGAAGTAATTAAAGGGAGTCCCTGAGAAGGAGCTCCTCAGACAGCTGTGCTCGCCCACTCAGGCAGACTCTGCCGGAGCCAGGCGAGTCGGAGGGAAGCACGACAGCAACAACACAGAGCGCTTTCGCACGCAGCTCTCCCATCTGACACTGCTGTCTTGCTTTTGAAGTACAGGGATTGGAAGTGTCGGAGGTTTTCAAGAACATGAGGATTTAGTACTTACAATTCCCTCAAAAAAAGGAAAGCGAGGTGAAGAAATCAAAGGTGCTCGACTGGGACAATACCTCCCCGTGTACACTCAACCCCATCAATCAACAACCAGGAAGCCCCTGGCCAGGCAAGAGGAAATGTCTCTTTCAAGATGACCTGTGCTTTATGTGTTCTATTCTACATGTATTCAGGGGCTTCCTTGTACATGAATCCTGGTGCTGAGGACCATGTGCCAAACTGTGTATTTAATGTACACAATCGTATTCATATAGAGTGTGCCGGCTAGACATTAACCCCTGGTGGCAGCACAGCCCGTCCAGTCTCGTCACATTTAATCCGTTCACTGTCAGGTGACACTGAGGGATTGCAGGATCCAGCAGGAGAAGGCAGGAGGAAGAAATGTCAGTTGCACCGGAGGACACAGATGTTGTGCCCAACTCTGTTTCTTTCTGGGCTGTGGTTTTCCCCTCTGCCTGCTGCCCTCCCGCAGCCTACCTTGGTGTCGAGCCTCTGCAGGTAGGAGCAGATGTATTCGATGCTGGCTCCGAAGGGATGGACATGGAGGAAGGTGGAGATGATACCTGAGAGAGGAGCAAAGAATCATCAACACAAGCTCGGTGCAGAGAAACAAACCCTGTTACTGTTAGTAACTGTGCTCTCTGTGCCCCCTCCTCTGCTGAAATCAAAGGCAAAGAGACAAGGGAGAAACAGAGCCTCTGCAGCTCAGATAAACAAGATGCCTAACAGACCAACTCAGGCATTCAGACATGCAACACATGAAACATCGAGTGTGGTTGTTTTATTGCTGCTACCCATTGTCACAAGTTCAGTTTGATTTCAGCTGGAGCCCCATGGCATAAACAGCAGTGGTTTGCAGTCTCCGGCTACACACAAACTTAATTGTCAGCATATTATACTGTACCTCTTTGTACATTTTTGAAGTAAACAAACCTGTATACAAAAAACATGCAGCATTATTTTAAAAGCTTTGCAGACTTTGTAATGGGAGACATATAACGTATTTGTAATACCAGTATTGACACTGGGATTGGCATTATTTTGTTTAAATTGTATTTGGTCATAGCAGCAGCAGATGTTTTCAGCTAAGAATGTGATGAGAGAGCAGAGGTATTCCCTGGGAAAGCCGGTTTCAGATGTAGTGGGGCAGCTCAGCATGCTTTGCTAAAACAATGTCACACTCACAGCACAAATGACAGCAAGCCCTCTCTCTCTCTGTGCTGTCGGTGTGCTGTGAGCAGGTGAGAGCCCTGCAGTGCTGCAGCACTCCTCCAAGTGTCTATCAGAGTGGAAACGCTTAATTATTAGTCTTGCACAACTAACATTAATTAATAGCAATTACAGGTGCATACGAAAGCATTTTATTTCCAAACCTGAGCTGCATGAGTATTTAATGTAAATTAAGGATTTAAAGTATCAGATTTGACACTTGAGATCTGCAGAGTGTTTTTTATTGGTTTTATTGACATTTAATTACTTAATGCTTTCCAGGCATCAAAGGACAGAACATGGGCACCTGTATGCTTCTGCATGATAAGAGTGCTGGCCAGCTGAGCCAAGGTATGAATATCTGCCTTTGCTCAACAAGTGTATTAGAACAGTTTGCTTGTCTGATGCTGAGCAGCAATGCTGACACAGAATGTCATACTCCTGCGATACGTACCACCAGAATCATGATGCAGACCCAGCCTCACTAAGGCTGTTGAACAGAAGGGTGGCAACTGCTTTCAATAAAGGGTAAGTTTAATTTGGGCTTTATTACCATGAGACATTTCAGAGAGAAAGTAACTGCAATGCAATAAGCATTTTTGCAAATGTTTCTTGCTGCAAACTTCTAGCTACACTATGTAAGGGATAGTTTTCCCAACACGGAGAAATATTTTGAAGTAAATCCAATATAATTCAGTATGTAGAGCAAAGCAATGAAAAGAGACAGACTTCTCCGTCTCTCACTCCCCGCTTGCTCATGAGTGATGGGTGCAGACACACGTTCAAAGAGCAGCCCATCAGCTTCTCCACAAGCTCATAGCTAATCATGGCACTCACTCTGGCGTGTGATGACTTCCATGCAGTGCCCATAATGCCCTGTCCTAATCCACCGCTGCCAGGTCAGATTCACACACTCCTCGTCTACCTGGAGAGGAGAGTCCCGGATCTCCTCTGTCCCTCAGCTGGGGAGACCACAGCTCAGTTCTAGGGTGCACCCCTCAATGAAACGCACTCTAGCCTCATGGGGATTATTGACAGGGCGCAGAGCTGACACCTGTGCTCCTGCCCCAGCCGAGAGAGCGGGAGAAACGAATCCGAGCTCATCTGTGCTCGCTCTCGGCTTCACTGTTCTAGCGCGTCTGCTGGCGGTGTTAAGGCCACGCTAGGGGGGCCCTGCTGTGACGGCGCTTACCGACGAGCAAGGCCTCTCTCTCGGACCGGACTGGGCCTGGGGGGCTCCTGTCGGGGGGGCTGTCCCGCTCCGCGCTGCAGGACGCCGCTGTCAGAGCAGCGCTGTCCTGCTGCAGGGGCCACGCACCGGATCGGCCCACAGACACGAGGCAGAGTTGGAAAAAACAAAAATAAATTAATAAGCATTTGAGGAAGTCTTTCCTGTACATTTAACAGCGGGGAAACGTCAAATTGGTAGCGCACAGTTCTCTGGCTGGTCATAATACAAACACTGTGTCTGGTGAGAAGAATAATAGGGGTGATAACCCAAAAAGCTCCCTGGTATTATTCTCATAAAAGGTGATTCCTTTAGCAACAGAGTATTTCTCGTTGCAGACTGCTGTCAAGCAGCAAATGCTATGTATTTATTTTTTCCTTCTTTTGTTCATTTCCTAGTGGTTTGAGGTCAACAAGTAGCAACAGAAATCATATCTCAACAGCTCGGAGAAGGCTGAAGAGTTCGAGAACTGTTCTTAGGTGAATCGCGACTGGTGAGACACTGAGATGCTGATAAGCAGTGCCTGAAGAAAAAAGAAGGAAAAACTGCAGTGAAAGGATAAAAAAAGTTTGCAAAGCAGGAGCTGACAGCATTGGTTTTCACTCCATGCGAGACGAAAAATCAAAACTTTAACACAATTGTGGTGTTGGCTGTGCTAATGATCAAGCTGTTGTCTACTGCCTTTGTTTGACAAGTTAGCAGGGGCTTCTGCATCTCCTAGCGAGAGGCAGCTTGCTGCTCTCAAGGATACACAACTTCAAACACAAAGGTTTCAAATGCCTGCCAGCACCTTGGTCTCCCAGTTCCCAACTCTCCCAGCTTACTGTTACCCTCGGAGGCCCTGGTCCTCATATCCCCCAAAGATCGGACAGTTTTGTTTTCTAACCCAGTTGTGTCACGGTGATTTATTGTCCAACAAATAACGTTCTTCGGCGCTTGATCGGCCTGTAACGATCTGTCATGTCGCTGGGAAAAGAGAGCAGGCAGTAGCTTGAAGACAGCTACAGAGCAACAAGAGAAAAAAAAACAACCTTTTCCACTTACATTGCCTTGATTAGCGCTCTCATCGCTCCCTCTGTCATCTCTGTCGGCTGTCTCCAGCTGCAATCAATTAAAACAATAAGGAGAGCTTTCAGCAACAAATCGCGCCATGTCAAAAACAACACTCCACCACAGGACAGATTCGTTCGGCTGCACTCTGGGTTTTAAAATAATGGAGAGAGTGAGATCAGAGATGAAAGAAAGGTGACAAACGAGATGGCTAAATTCAGCTCCTTTCGTATCAGCAGGCGAGTGATCCAAGGATCTCAAGCTGCCATTTCTTGAAGGAAGACTCATCCCCTTGAGCATCGTGGCTGAGTTTCTTGTGCCAAACCCCCACAAGTCCTTGTGTCAGGAAGTGGCTCCTGATTCCAATTTCAAATGCACTTCCTCTTGGACTCCATTTGAACCCCTTACTTTGTGTTTCACTGTTGATCCTGAAGAAGTTCACTGGGTTAGCTTTGTTAATACCTTTCTATTCTTGAACCAAGTCCTCTCCGAGTTGCCTTACAGAGGACAGTCTTTTAATCTTGGGAATATACGTACTTGTTCATACTTTGAGGGTTGAAAGGCAATAATATCTCCCATAGAAGAAAGAAAGTTATCTTGTGAAATACCTTTCAAGGCAGAGATCTTTTCTCTGTCATCTCCAGTGCCAACTGGTTATCTTGGCAAACAGATTCCCTGTAGCTACCGCACTGAAGCTGGAGGAGGCAGACTTTGAAAACAAATTGTTGTTCCGAGAAGTAAATACTGTAAAATATGTAAAGGCCTGTAAATGCTGTTTTTTTCAGCCTTGTTAAATGAATCACTTGCTTTCAATAAAAATGAAACAAAAGACTTGGTGTGCGCTCTATTCCCAATATCTGACGAATTATTTTAAAAATATTTTTCAAGCATTGAAACTAATTTTAAACTAATTTCATTTTAATTAAAGCACATATCAGATCCATCAGTTCTATTTATTTTTTTTTAATGAGCCTCTCCAGCATGCCAGATGTATTAGACACGCGGTTTTCTCTACTGTTTCATGTGAATCTTCACTGGGCCTTCTGCTTGGGAAGGAGTGTGTCAGGGTAGAAGGGAGGAGCTGCCGTGGAGGCATCTCCTTGGACAGCAACAGGCTGCTGTGCTGTACCGCACGGCCTTACTGTGGTTAGTGTTCAACCTTATCATGGCTGAGCACGGCTGAATTCCGCCGGGGAAATAAAACATTCTTAATGTTTCACTTTAGCTGCCATGGGCCTCATGACCATGTAATTGAAAAATAAAGGCTACAGAGGGAAGTGACAAGAAACCTTTCCACTTCATTTTCTGACAAAGGGGAAAGAGAATCCTCCTTCGCAGGGAGCGATACTGAATCATGCCGCCCACGCAGCGCTGTGCCATCTCCGCGGGGGGGCAGAGCTCTGGCGGCGCTGGCGGCTGGGGAAGGAAGGCGGACTGCGGGCCCTGGAGCGGCGGGCCGGCAGGCGGGAGGCCGCACTCCTGACCAGCGCCTTACAGCAGCAGGAGCAGCGGGCTGACCTGGCGCGGGTGTCCATGCGTCCCCCGGTCCTTCAGGCTCTGCAGCTCCGCCTCCAGGAGCTTCTTCTCCTCCAGGCTCCGCTCCAGCTCTGCCTCGCGCTGCGTCAGCTCATCGCGGATCTTCAGCAGTTGCTGCGAAAGGGGAAAAGGACAGAGGAGATATCAAAATGCTTCTGTGTAACAGTTTCCTGTAAATGAGTGCTCTTTCACATTTACTAAAGTTGTGCTCTTCCTTTTGACCAAGACCTGGAACATTTTCATTTCCCCAAATGCAAAACGTGTGATGAACAAACACCTGTTGAGTTCCATGTCTTTAATGTTTTCATTTTCATTCTTTATCTAAAAGGATTTCCAGGCACCAACACGGTAGCACCACGGCAAGGTACCGAACTACTGCAGACTTTACTGGACCCCAAGGACAGTTCAGCATCACCTCGTATATGTGCTGTAGAGAGGGACTGTGCACCTTTCCTGCACCCTGAGGTGCTGCTGCTGTTTAGACTCACGCTGATGTGCTTACATTCCTCACAGGCTGTTAACTTCTGCGCTCTGTCAGTCTAGAAGCTAAGCAATTACCCCTCTGACCCCACCACCGCGATGCCCAGGGCTAGGAGGGTCCTCCCCTGGGCTCTTCCTTGAGCCAGGAAGCTCAATAAATGACTTCAAAACAAGAGTGTTTGTCTGCTGCTGTGTGTTTCTCTACTGTTACTGCGAAGAACAACCTCAAACCTTCCCACTTGTTCTCTGCTGTCTGAGAACCTAACAGCTTTAAAAACCTCTGCACTGATACAATCCCAATTCTAACTTCACAATCGCAAACATTTCTGAATTCGGTCCCTCACTGGGGATGAAACACAATTCATGATTTATTTTGAGACTTAGCCTCTCCCTTCGTCCACAGACACTTACACAGACTAGGCTGTGAACCTTAGTATCAACAACAGGTCATTTCAGGCTCAGCTGGCAAAGCACCTGAAGAACAGAGCAGGAGAATATGTGGCCCTTCTGATTAACTACTGGAGACCTAACCTCCCCTGTCACACACAGGACATTCACCTGTGGGACAGAAGGCCTGCAGACTGTGCTGCATCATCACGAGGGGAACACCTATGTCCTACAGATACTAAACTGTAGCCACTGAGGCTATAATGTTTGAGCTGCTGCAATCAATAATTGAAACGCTGGTACCTGCTCAGACTCTTATACCCAGAGAATAACTCATCCGTTTCTATTTCAGTCATAATCCCTCATGAATAAATGAGACACGACTGCACAGAATGGCTGGTATCTACACACTCCTGCGCAAGAGAAACTGAACTAACTGCTTCAAGCACGAGAGACACCAATCCTACAGAAAGAACATCTCCCCCAGGACTATCAATGAGAAAAACACCTCTGGGAAGAGTGAGCGGGCCTGTGGGGTGCAGGAGGCAGTCAGTCTTGGTTGTGTGAGTGAGAACGAGGCAGAACAGAATGTTTTTGCAGAAAGGTTCCTGCTGCAAAGAAAATGAAAAGTTAGGGGAACAGCAGAAGATACACATTATGGCTTCACAAGCAGCTCGACAACCTGGAGCTTGTACAAGTCAGAGTTCTGTTCAGAAAAAAAGGTTAGTTTGATCTTAGCACAAGAGCTCTTCCAGCAGCGCCATGGTAATTATCACTGCCCTGACAGTGAGTGTGTTAGAAGTGTTACAACAGAAGGACTCTAAGTCTTGTTAAATTCTAATATCTGCAACAATTCCAGGTTGTGCCTGGACATGTGCATGATTATGCCACTGTGTCCAGGCTGAACTTTCCTATTACAATACTGCATACCCTCAGCACAGGCCTGGTACAATACAGCGTACCCTGAGCACAGGCCTGGTGCAATACGGCGTACCCTGAGCACAGGCCTGGTGCAATACGGCGTACCCTGAGCACAGGCCTGGTGCAATACGGCG